ATTTGACTCAACTCTATTCAACATGCATAGATGGAAGAAGGTAGGAAGAATGAAGGTTGTGATATGGAGAAAGCATGTAGAAGGAGAGATATGAAAAAATAGGAATAGAATGTACCCCCAACTCAAATGACGGAAAAAACCGACTCATGCATGAACCTAAGACATGGTCGTGGTGATATATACTCAAAGTGTGCGCTAAGACTAGTGAGTGTAATGAGTGTAGGTGACATATTAAGACTCTTGTGTCATGACCATGTGGCTAGACTATGTGACTAGACTCAAGAAAATACTAAGTTAAGACTTCACGTATATGCATTAAATCGGACAGGTTATGGTATTTTAGTCATAACTTTTGATATGTGACTCTGATTGGGACGAAACCAACGCCAAATTAAATATAAAACTCGGGGCTACATATCCATAGTTTGTAAGACTCATAGTTCTTCATAGAACTCCAGCTATGACCAAAACAAGTTGACGCTTGTGCAGTATACGGGAATAAAAATCCGGGTTGACTTAAAGGAACTATAACTCGATTTTAGGTATATTTTTTAGCTCAAATTAATTAATTATGTAATTAAACAAAGTTCTTTAGTCATTAAATAGTTTATTTAGGCTTAATCACAAGTCAATCCAAACGGTTAGTTTAGTCACATAATAAGTATGCACAAGTAAGAGATGCACAAGTAGTCAAGTAGTCACAACATGATGCAATGAGTTTGCAACCTAACCATGGCTCTAGTTCTCTAAAGTTCAAGATATGGGTTAGTTAAAGAGGGTCCATGGTAAATTGTCCGGATGCACCGCGCGGAAGCCTAACCGTGAAGGGTTGGCGTGAGTGGATGAGACACCGCGAATTAAGGAAAATAAACTCGCTTCCATGGTTTGGTGAATTCAACATTCTCGGATGTACCCTTTGATGCTCAGAGCGTTCAATCGGGTAGATGAAGCATGAATTCCCAGAAGGTTATGTCCATATGTAGAACACATATGGGTTTCAGAAAAGTGAGAAAAACTCAATCAGGAAGTAGAATCAAGCAAACAGCGCTAAAAACTGGTCAAAATTAGAACGCATATTTCTGGCTCGGTATTGGAAGAACTTAGCGCCAGCAAATAGAGGCCGGCGCCAACGATTCGACTTTAGCCCCTGGCGACAGAAGCTGTCACCTGGCGCTAAAGTCACATTAATGGCGCTAGACTATGTTTCTTAGCGCTAGTTCCTACATGCCTCATCAGCTTTCTGTGCTCGATAAAATTTTCTAGTTTCGCGCAGCATTATTTGGATCCTAGTTGTGAAAGATATTCCTCAAATTTCCTACGTGTAAAAATCCTATGTTTTAACTCATTACGGATGGTCTTTTCAATGAAATCTTTTTTATGCATATGAAAATAATATTAATCAAAATTACGCACATGAAATACTTAGAACTTTTCGAGTCTCATCCACTCATTCTAAATAATTGCCAAAATAAATTTTAGGAATTGAAATAGAAATCCTCCCCAATGGAGTCGCCAAAAAACTTTAGGGAATATTTCAAGAATTACCCCAAACTTGAACCACACTATGATCGTACACTTAAGTACGGTGGCGTCCAAAGGGAAAGAAGATAGAGCAAAAGAGTCGCCAAAAAGTTTTAGGAACTTGTAAACCGTTCACGAGGTGAAGCTTACACCTCTTAACGATCCAAGAGATCGTTAACTCCAATAGGTCTTGCACCATAACTGGTAGTTCGGGGATGAAGGTACAAATCCAACCTAAAAGAGATTGAACCTGCCCTAATAATAGGTCTCTACTTTATTCTGATCGTATTCATGTGCGCTTTCTGACTAACATGCAATCAATAGGTTAACGCTAAACCTGTTTATCCATGTTGATTGAATATAATGCACAAATAAATCTATTATTGGCGATCACTTGAATTATAATCAAATTATCCCTAAACAAGATTATTAATTATCTTATTAAGCGTGATTACAAGTACAAATTCCCTTTTAACATGCATAAAAGAGGTGATCAAGCAATAACAATAAATATAAAGCAACATAATAATCATAAATAATTATAATAATCAAACTAATAACTACTATAATTAAAAAAAAATCATGTTAAAGCATAATAATAGCAAGATCCTAGGCATGATACTAACTAGATTAATAACAAACCCTAGCATGTCACTAAGCAATAAAGATCAAAGTTTTAGCCCTAACATGATACTAACATGTTATTAGGAAAGAAAATAGGAAGCATCGCAGGAAACACAATTGTCATATTTGATAATAGAAATTACCCTAAACATGATACTAGGAAGATCAAAACACCCTAACATGACACTAGGAATCATAACAACAACCTAGACATGATTTCTATATCATAATAACAATGTAAACCAATTAAAGCACTTACTTGAATGCCTCGTATCTTTTTCTAATAACAAAATACACATGTTAGTAACTTCAAGAAAAATATAAAATCAAACAATTAAATTAAATAATTGAAAGAGAGATTTGGGACCAAACCCTCAGAAATATCAAACCTTTCACGTCTAGGGCGAATGCAACTTCGAACTTGGCTAAGAGTGTCTATTGCTAATGTATGAGGAATTTTGTTTGTAAAAAGGCTAGTTTAGAAAAGAGAGAGAGAGAGAGAGAGAGAAATCAAGAGATTCTTGATGAGAATTAGTGATTGAAAAAGGAGATGTATGACCTCTATTTATAGAGAAAAAAATAGGGTCGAAGAGTAAGAAGAGAATCCGAATTCGAATCGAAATAGAACTCGATGGACAGCAGTTTATGCGGATTTTGTTTTTATCATATCTTTTGATCCAGAAGTCCAAATAAGGCATATAATATGTCGTTGGAAAGCTCTTAAAGTATATTTTCCAACCCAATTAGAATAAGATTAAAATATTTTGTTGATAAAAATATATGGCTGAAATAGTAAGACGGTGTCAGTTTTGAATAGAGTTTTGTATCTCATTCATATCTTTTTCGTTATAGCTCGGATTTAATATTATAATATATCATTGGAAAGATAATTTCAAGATCTATCCAACCATATAAAATTTGGATAAATATTTTGAAGAACAAAAATAATATATGAGTGTCTTTGAACATCTTTAAATTCGAATAGAATTAGGATTTAAGAAAAAAGGAAAGTTTTTTAAAAAGGAAAGTTTTTATTTAACTCAAATTCTTTGATTTTATCTTTTCAAAAGGGATAATTAATATCTTTTAGAAACTTATAGAAGCTTCTAATTAATCATAATTATTTTAGGAATAGGATTAAACCTTTGGACCCTCCACATGATCATTGGGTCGTAGGTAAAATCCGGTTTGAGCCCAATTTAGTATTTTGGCCATAACTTCCTCATTGTTTATCGGAATTGGGCTTATAATATTTCTTTGGAAATGTCTTTTCAAGCCCCATACAACTACACTATTATTGGACCCATATCATGAACCAAACTAAACTGGAATGCACGTTTTTCATAAATAGGTTAAAAAAAGAAATATTTTCAAAAACAGAAAGAAGTGATATCTTAATAAAAACATCCTCATCACTAGACTTTTCACACTTTCGCTTTCTTCGATAATCAAATGACGTGAAAGGTATTCATCACTGGGTTTGGTTTTAGGGAGACACATTTGGGTGTCTACAGATCCCGGTTCACTTTAATCAGCATATGGGAAGTGTTGAGAAAATCTGATAAATGGAGGCCAACAAACAAGCAAGTGTCGAATACCAGTGAAAGTGATAGCTCCAAAAGATCAGAACCAGATACTCCAACAGAAGTAGGTCGGCGTGGACGTCTAGATGGGGTGAAAAAGGCAAAAAGAAAAGGTAAATCTGTAGCTAGTTCTGGAATTAATAGTTTAGATTCGTTTACTCAAGCCCTATAAGAGATGGATATGATGAAGGAGCAATACAAAAGTGTGGATGAGAAGTGAGCTGATGTAGCGCAACAAATGTTGGATTATCAAAAGGAGCGAGATGTCATCAAGAGACAGAGGAAAGAGGTGGAAAAGAGGTTCAAGTTTTTTAGTGTTCTACTTGCAAAACCAAACCTCTCTGAAGACGACCAACAACTGTTTCGGAAATTGAAAGAGGAGTTCGGCCACCTTTTAGGCTAGTTATTTATGTTGTTAGTTGATATTATTTTAAGTTATTTTAAGCTTCTTTAAAGTTTGCCTTAATTTATGTTGTTGTTCATTTGGTATGATTTTACAATTGTTTTCTGAGCATATGTATAACTTGTTTAATTAATGTTGTTTAAATATAATTGAAGTCATTGACTTGTCAATGAAGAAGCTGTTCAATCTCATCTTCTAGAGATATGTGCACAAACATTGGTTTGCAATTGGATGGAAATCTGCAAACTTTATCAAAAATCTCATCTTCTAGAGTTGTGTGCCTATATAATAATTTGTAATTGGATAGTAATCTGGATATATCATCAGAAATATAATCATCTAGAGTTGTGTGCCAATACATGTATTGTTTTGTAATTGGATGGAAATCTGCAAACCTTATCAGAAATCTCATCTTCTACAGTTTTGTGCCCATACATTAAATCATTTGTAATTGTTTTTAAATCATTTACAAATTTCTATATAAGTCCTATTCACTTTGTAGTTTAAAACACAAACAAAAATACCCTTCCTCATAAAAATAGTCTCACACTAAACACTACTCTTACCATATATACCTAAAAGTGATTTTTGATTCAAATTCATCTAGTTCATCAAGTTCAGGTATTTTCGATTATATGGTGAACGATTATGTTGAGTGGCACGAATCAATTACTCAGAGGCGTAAGGAAGAGGAATTAATTGAGGAAGCGATCAATTCAGCTATTTTCCCCCTTGTCACCTCTACTTTTCAGGTCCCATTCACTCCCGGTCCTGAGAAGTAAAGGTGGTACGTACCAAGAGATTGTGAAGATGCTGATACTCGGTTATATAACGACTACTTCAGTCACAAACCACTTTATAATGACGATATGTTTCGTCGAATATTTCGCATGCGTAAACACGTTTTCACGCGTGTTGTTGAGGAGCTAAGAGAAAGTAACGAATACTTTCGACAAAGGCCTGATGCCACTAGAAGACTTGGTGTTTCGGCTTTCCAAAAATGCACTGCAACAATGAGGATGTTGGCTTATGGTACAGCAGCCGATGTAGTTGATGAATACCTTAAAATCGCGGCAAGTACAGCAAGAGATTGTCTCCATCACTTTGTTGAAGGATTTATCTCTAAATTTGGACAAGAGTACCGGAGGAGGGCAACACCTGCAGATGTAGAGCGACTTCTTCATGAAAGTAATGTTCGTGGACTCCCTAGTATGTTGGGGAGCATTGTCTGCATGCATTGGGAGTGGAAAAATTGTCCACGTGCATGGATAGGAATGTACCAAGGAAGAAGTAAAAATGCGACCATAATTTTAGAAGTTGTTGCTTTCAAAGACTTGTGGATATGGAATGTTTTTTTTGGCACAGATATAAATGTCCTCCAATGGTCGCTAATGTTTGATGATATTTGTGAAGGTCAAGCCCCAGAGGTGAGTTTTAATGTGAATGGAAATAGATACAATATGGGATACTACCTTACAGATGGTATATATCCAAAATGGGCAGCATTTATCCCAGCCATTAGGCTTCCATAAACCGCTATGCAAAGATTATTTACAAGGAACCAAGAAAGTTATCGCAAAGATGTTGAACGTGCCTTCGTAGTGTTACAAGCTCGATTTGCAATAATACAGCAACCAGCTCTCGCATGGTCGATAGAAATCCTATGGAAAATTATAATGGCATGCATTATCATGCACAATATGATTGTTGAAGATGAACGAGAAAACTATTTGCATTACGATGCATCTGAATTTATCACTGATCAACCTCAAAATATAGCAGGATCTTCAAACCAAGATATTAAACAACCATTCACTGTGAGAGAAGGACGACTAAGTAATCTCAGTTTAGCAGGTTACATGGCAAACATAAATAATGTCCGAGATAGGGAGACTCATGTGTCATTGAAAAAAGACTTGGTTGAGCACGTATGGAGTCGTTTTGGTAATGAATGACGATATCAAGTAGTCGGATAATTATTTTCTTATGTAATGTTTTTTTTTTCATTGCAATGTTTTCCCGTGTTGTGAAACCTCTTTTCATTTCCATCTATAAATTAAATGTAATATTGTTATTTTAAGAGTAATAACAGTTAAGTCTTCAATTTTTTTTAATAATATTTAAATTAATCATGTCATTATTACGAATACTTTGATCATTAGTACAAATAATTATTACGTAAACTAAATTAACGACAAATTCAAGAACTTATAGATGTCATTAGTTTGACTAATATGTTTATTAGAAGAATAATTAAACATAAACTCCATTAGTAGGTGTAGACACCTAAAAATGTCTCCCCAAAACCAAACCCGATGATGAATAACCTTTCACCGCCATTATTGGTCGGGTTGAGTGTGTAATCTTTGGAGTGCTTAAATCCATGTTCACTCCCAATACATTTCATAAACCAATACAATTCCTAGCCCATTTCCCCAAACCATAACTTATTTTCCTCTTTTCGCGCCTTTAAACCCAAAATAATTCATTTCGTGTCCTTTAAAATCATTCATTTCGTGTCCTTTTTATAAAAACATTTAATACATTTTATTTTGGTCCATTATCTGGGTTCAATGATTAGTTGGATGGGGCTTTAAAAGATCTTTCCAACGATATATTATAAGCCCAAATCCGAGTTATAACGAATAAGTTATGGCCAAAATATTAAACCGAGCCCAAACCGAACCTAAGCCCACCTTACCTACGACCCAATGATCATGTAGAGGGTCCAAATTATTTAATCTCATTCCTAAACCAATTAAGATTAATTGGAAGCTTCTATGAGTTTCTAAAAGATCTTAATTTATCCTTTTTGAAAAGATAAGATTAAATAGTTTGAAATTGAATAAAACTTTTATTTTTGAAAATCCTATTTCTATCTGAATTGAAAGACGTTCAAAGATATACTGATATTATTTTCGTGCCACATATTTTTTATCCAAATTTTATATGATTGGATAGCCCTTGAAATTATCTTTCCAATGATATATTATAATATCAATTCCGAGCTATAACGGAAAAGATATGAATAAAATGTCAAACTCTATCCAAAACTGACACCATCTCACTATTTCGGATATATATTTTGTTATACAATATATTTTAATCTGAATTTAATTGGGTTAGAAAGTAGACTTCAAGAGCTTTCCAACAATATCTTATTTCAATTTTTGGATCAAAAGATATGATAAAAACAAAAACCGCAAAAACTGCAGTCTATCGAGTTTTATTCCGATTTAATTCGGATCTTATTTTAATTTTTCGACCCTTCTTTTTTCTCTATAAATAGAGGTCATATCACCCCTTTTCCAATCATCAACAAGATTGATCATCAAAAACTGCAGTCTATCGAGTTTTATTCCGATTTAATTCTGATCTTATTTTAATTTTTCGACCCTTCTTTTTTCTATATAAATAGAGGTCATATCACCCCTGTTAGTAACTAGCCACCCTATTCTCTCACCATTCTTCCCTTAACCACTCCAAGGAGTCCATACAATACCCGAAGTTCTTTACTTTAACCAAGGCGTGAAAGTTATAATTAACTGAGGGTTTGGACCAAATAAAATCTACATTTATTTAATTTAATTTTCTATTTGATTTATATTTTTATTGAAGTTACTAACAGTTTATTCATGATGTAGCAATTCAAGGAAACGCGGAATGTGAGTATATAATCACTTAATTACTCTTATTTTTATTCTTATTGCTGGTATCATGATTAGGTGTAGACACCCATTTGTGTCTCCCCAAAACCAAACCCAGTGATGAATACCTTTCACGTCGAACCATAATCGAATGAGGTAAAAGTGTGAAAAGTCTAGTGTTGCGGTTAGTTTTTGTTAAAATTCTTTCTTTCGGTTTTCGAAAACCCACTCTATTTTATGAAAACGTCCATTCCAGTTTAGTTTGGTCCATGATAAGGGTCCAATAATGGTGTAGTTGGATGGGGCTTGAAAAGACCTTTCCAACGATATATTATAAGCCCAATTCCGATGAATATTGAGGAATTTATGGCCAATTTACTAAACTGGGTCTGGTTTGAGTTTTAAGTACAGCCCAATGATCTAGGGGAGGGCCTAATATGATTTATCATTCCTAATGGTTTTAGTCTTCTAGAACATTCTAGAAGGTTTTTATCATTCTTAATTCAGTTAGGATTCTTCAGAGTTTTAATTAGATCAAATAGCATTTTCGACTGAAATTATATTATTTTATCTTCCAGTACGGGAAATTTATCAGAAATTTGAAAACGCGTTGAAATCCAAATTGGCGTCCAACCCCAGGCCTTGGCGCCTGGAATCAGGATTGGCGCCAGACGCCAGCCATTGGCACCTGGCGCTAGCCACTGGTCCTGGCGCCAATGAGCAAGGGCTGGCGCCAAGGTTGGTTTTCGATCTTCAGACTGTTTTGATAAATTATCTTTTTTGGATGATTTTCTCTATAAATATCGTATAAAAAACTCCGGTTTCACCAATCAACAATCACTTTATGAATTACCAATAATCAACTCTCTTCATTCACAAAATTATTCATTAACTCTCTTCATTCATCAACTCTTTTCATTCATCTACATCATTCATTCATCAATTTTCAAAAACATTAATCTTTTAGCATTATTTTAAACTTTGCTTTTTAACACAAAATTCCGCATTCACAAGATCTAGAAACACCTAGCCATATTCGAAGTTGCCTTCGCCCTAGACGTGAAAGGTTTTAATTTCTGAGGGTTTGGTCCCAAATCTCTTTCAATTATTTAATTTAATTGTTTTGATTATTATTTTTCCTTGAAGTTACTAACGTGTGTATTTTGTTATTAGAAAGAGGTACGAGGCATCCAAGTAAGTACTTTAATTGATTAATTGATATTATGATGTAGTAATAATGTTTATATTGTTATTATGATTCCTAGTATCATGTCTAGGGTATTTTTAATATTAAATATGATTGTTATGATGCTTCCTATGTTCTTCCTAATATTAATTCATGTTAGTATCATGTTAGGGCTAAAGATTTGGTTTTTATTGCTTAGTGACATGTTAGGGTTTGTTATTAATCTTGTTAGTATCATGCCTAGGATCTTGCTATGTTTATTATGCCTTAATATTAACATGAACATGATTATGATTATAATTGTTATAATAATTTATGAATATTATTGTTATTATTTTGATAATGATTATTTTTATTCATGATTACTATTATTATTATGATGATTATTATTATTATTCATAATTATTATTGATTATGTTGCTTGATACATTATTTATTCTTTATTGCTTGATCACACCTTTTATTGCATGTTAAAGGGAATTGATATTTGCAATCACGCTTAATAAGATATTTAATAATCTTGTTAGGTTAATTGTGATTATAAATTCAAGTGATCGCCAATAATAGTTTATTTGTGCATTAATATTCAACCAACATAGATTAAACAGGTTTAGGGTTAATCCTATTGATTGTATGTTAATCAGAAAGCGCACATGAATACGAGCAGAATAAAGTAGAGGCCTATGATTAGGGCAGGTTCAATCTCTTTTAGGTTGGATTTGTACCATCATCCCCGAACCCTTATTTGGCTCATGACCTTATGGAGTTGACGATCTCTTGGATCGTTAGTGGGTGTAACCTTCACCTCGTGAACGGTTTACAAGTTCCTTAAAAACTTGTTGGCGACTCTTTTGCTCTATCTTCTTCCCTTTTGGACGCCACCGTACTTTAGTGTATGATCACAGTGGGGTTCAAGCTAGTGGGATTTTTAAAGGCTTGAAACTATTCCCTACATTAGGGTTATTATTATTATTTGATTTGACTAACAATTTATTGTTAAATTGCTTCCAATATTAATGTTTATTATTATTTATTGATCACTATATTGCATGTTTAAAGGGAATATGTAATTGAAAATCACGCCTAATAAGATAATTTGGACAACCGGTTTAGGATCCTTTTTAATCTTGTTGTTTAATCAAGTGATCACAATATTTTAGAATAATATGTTGCATTAATATTAAACCAATTTAGCTTAATAATAGTTTGGAGCAAATTGAATCTCTGTTTGTATGCCTTTGAGATCGCAAGAATCGTTTTTCACTATAAGAATCGAGTATAGGCCAATACGGGCGAATGTGACTCCATGACTCACTTCGTACCATCATCCTCGATCTTCTTTTCGTGGTTCCGAACCATATGGAGTTAATAATCTCATGGAGTATGAATGGGGTGTAACCTTCACGGATCAATCGTTGTTGCCTTCGTTGTCCCTTATCCGTGGTTGTCTTTTATGATCCGTGAACGGTTTACAAGTTCCTTAAAAACTTGTTGGCGGCTCCCTACTTTCGTTGTCCCTAATCGTATGTTGATTCCCACTTCCTATAAGTGCCAAGCATATTCACCACATGCTATTAACGTAGGCGCACTTCGAGCGACGCCTACAGTAGAAGAGAGAAAACATGGTGGGATATTTGATAAAAGTAGGAGAGAGAATGGTGGGGTTACTCACCGTTGAAGGAAAAATAAAGCGAGTGAC